CCGCTGATTCAGTCTGTGGCGGGGCTTCTTGGGAGCTGGGCCCTCCGGCAGGCAGTTGCAGGAATTCTGGAAGTACCAGGTCCTCTTTTCGCAGAAGGCCCCGCTGGTCGTGGGCCCCGCTGCTCTGCACCCGGTTCAGCAGCTCCACCAGGCCTAGGGGCAGCCACGCGTGAGAGGCCCACCCAGCAGACCTGCCTGTGCCAGCCCCCACAGTCCCGCTGCCTCCTGTAGCCACAGCCTCCCTGCTCCAACCCCACTGGCTCCCAGCCCTCCCGTGCCACCCCGTGGCACCCAGCCCCACCTCAGCTCAAGTTTCTCTGATGCCACGCTCAGCGGTCCCCTACCTTACTGCCCTAGTCCCTCTGATCTGCAGCCCACATCATCCCTCCAACGCACCTTCGATGTCACAGGTCTGCCGCTTTCCAGGGGTACTACTGGGCGCCTTCACCAGCGAACTGGGGGGCGCAGTAGGGGGTTGGGTGGCCTTGTCCTGGGTTCTAGGCTGGCAGCCCTGCGAGAACGTGGGGTCAGCACCAACCAGAAGAGGAGAAGCAGGAGGTAGAACAGGGTGCCCCAGCCGGGAACGGTGGCTCACGCCTGTCATCCCAGCACTTTGGGAGGCCGAGGCGAGTGGACTGCCTGAGCTCAGGGGTTCAAGACCAGCCTGAGCAACAAGGCGTGACCTCGTCTCTACAATAAATCAAAAAAATTAGCCAGGCGTGGCGGTGCACGCCTGTGGCTCAGCGACGTGGAAGACTGGGGCGAAAGGATCGCCGGAGCCCAGCAGGTCGAGGCTGCGGCGGCTGTGGGCATGCCCCTGCACTCCAGCCGGGACCACAGTGAGACTCGCACGCAAAAGGAAAAAGAAAGAAGAGAAGGGGGCGCCCCGTGCTGGCTTACCTGGCTGTGGCGGGGGGATTTGGCACCGGGTTCGGAGACCTTCGCACCTGCGGCAGAGAGTGCCACCCTGAGCGCCGCCGCCCGCGGGACCCCCTTCCTCCGGGGCCGGCCGACCCGCGGACGAACCCCAGGCCGACGCCCCCACCTGGAAGCGTGTCCAAAACCAGCCTCTGGGCCGCCACCGCGCTCACGAGCTTCCCCAGATCCAGCGGCTGCTGCTCTCCTGGCTGCGGGGGGAGGTCAGCAGCGGGGCACGGCGGGCGCGCCCGGCCCGGCCCGGCCCGGCCCGCCCCGCCCGCGCCCGG